TGATTTACTTATTGTAAGCTGTAGGCTGAGTAAAATATAACAGAACATCTTTGTGTCAGTGACCATGTCTTTCTTGTTGATCATTAAATCTCTAGCACATACAGAATTCATGATATAACTGATATTCAAAAATATTGTAGAACTAACGAATGAATGAAATTCATGTGCTACTCAATAGGGTTTTATTGTAGATATAGTGTGCAGGGTTCCTCTTCTCAGATTCTATTCCAGTAAAGGATGTCTGTCAGTTATCAGGCAATTACAGTATAACCTAAGTGTGGGGAGCCTCAAGGACAGAGTAGTACAGGAGTGCCTAAGAAAGGTCTGGATGTTTCTGCTCTTGCTCTGTGGAATGGCTTATTTGGATCAGTCCTCCCACCAAGAACAGCTATAAAAGCTACGTTAAAAAATTTTTTAGCCTTGACCTGTGTGCCTCAGTTGCTTGAGTGTCATCCCACAATGAAAAAGGTTGCCAATTCAACTCCCAGTCAGGGCACATGCTGGGTTGTGGGTTTGGTCCCCAGTCAGGCACATACAAGAGACAACCAACTGATATTTCTCCGTCCCTCTCTGTCTTCCTCCCTTTCCCTCTCTCCAAAAATAAATAAAGTCTATTAAAATAAATATATTTTAATATTTTAAAGAGGTAAAAAAGGAAAATATACCAGAAGAAAATAAACCATAACACTGAATTAACACTGAAAATTCTTCACCACAGTTTTCTTCAAGGCACTGGGTTAGCCAAAAAGACCATTTAGTTTTTCCCATAAAATAAAAGACACATTTTTCATTCTCACCAATAACTTCATTGATTTGGATATTTTGAGTATGTCAGCTTTCTCCCGCTATTGGCTTCTCTAGTGGGTAGAGGCCAAGGATGCTGCTAAACATCTTCCAGTGCATAACACAGCTCCACGGCAAAGATATTATATGGCCAAAGAGTCCATGGTGCCAAGAAGCTTCACAAACCACTTTTGACTTGTTTGACCCGTCACAGCACCTTCTCCATATACTGCACACATCTTTTTTTGTATTCCAGTTGCTTTTTTACCTTTCTTGAAATAATAAAGCATAATACACTGAAAATGTTGCATATTTTCTTCCATCTTTGGTATTAAAATGGCTCCACAAAAATTCACCAGTTTTGATAAGCTTTTTAATGCACACTGATATGAGAGCTGTCATAATACAATCTTAACAAAATTATTTCAAATAAAGTTAAAGCCAACCAAGCATTACTAGAGCCATCATATGGGAAAAAACTGAATGACCTTTTTTTTTAAAGATTTTATTTATTTTTCTTTAGAGGGGAAGGGAAGGAGAGAGTGAGAGAAACATCAATGTACGGTTGCCTCTCATGCATCCCCTGCAACCCAGGGGACTGGCCTGCAACCCAGGCATGTGCCCTGACTGGGAATTGAACCGCGATCCTTTGGTTCGCAGGCCCACGCTCAATCTACTGAGCTACACCAGCCAGGGCCTAAATGAACTTTTTGGTCAGCCCACTACTAATTCCTAAGCCAGGGAGACAGGGGAGGTATAATGGTACAGGGAGCCAAGAAATCAAGGATAAAAGAATAGCTGATAAATTAATAAAGTAAACAGAATTTTTCACTTTCATGAAGGTTCAGAGTCTGCCATGCAGGCGGTGCCTTGGCAAGTATCTCAGGTTTTCATTTTAAACCCTTGAGGACTGTGCTCTAGGAATAGGGCAAACTTTCAAAAAGACTAAAATCCTTCCTCAAATTACCTGGGTCTCTGATTATATCAAGATAATCTTAGTTTACCTTAACTAGCTGCCAGAGAAAATTAAACCCTTTCTGGAGGAATGTATCATCATCCAGAGCCTCTTCAATTCTTTTCCATACGTAATGTTTGGACTTCAGTTTTTTAAATAACCAGCCAAAATGACCAACAACTAAGAAAGAAGAAGAAAATAGAAAAACCCTAAAAAACCATGGTCTTTGAAACACTGCAATTAATGTTTAATAAAAGAAATGATGAAGTGAAGAATTTCAGTAAAAAACTAGAATCCACTCATAAAAGTTAAATGAAAGTTTTAGAAAACAGATGAAAGAAACATAAAAGACATATGGGCTATGGAGAAAGGTCTAACATATGTTCAGTTGGAGTCCCAGAAGGAAAGGAGAGTAAGTAGAAGCAATATTTAGGAGATATTGGCAGAGTTTTCCAAAACCAATAAAAGCTATCAAGTCAGAAATTCAAGGGGTTCTGCTAATCTCAAGTAGGATACATACGAAGAAACCATACTTAAGTAATTATACCAAAACAACTGAAAGCCAAGGACAAAGAGAAAATCTTAACAAAGGGAACATTTCCTTCTAATGACCAACAATAAAACTAGCAGAAATGATTTAAACAGAAAGGATAGAACTCAGAAAACACTGGAATGGCATCTGTAAAGTGCTAAAGGAAATAACTGCCTGTGTGGAACTGTGTATCCAGCAAGAATTTTCTTCAAAAATTAAGATAAAAACATTTTTAGTCAAACAAACACTGAGCAGACCTGCACTAAAGCAGGTTTTTCAGGCAGAAAGATTATGGAAGCATGGAAATTCAGAAAGGACCGAACAGCAAAAGAAAAGAAGAAAAGGTAAATATGTAGATAAATAGAAATTAGTATTGATTGTATAAAATAATAATGCCTTGTGAGGTTTTCAATATAAAACATAAATATAGAGTATATATCATCTGTATAGTATATATAGAAAAGATATATATAATATTTAAAATATATACAGAATTTGTGGTACATTATAGTGCAGAAAGCAGAGAGGAATAAGTGGAGTTAACATGTTTTAAATTTCTGGTGTTGTCTGGGAAGTGTTAAAAATACAAAAGTATGGTAGACTGTGATAAGTCAAGAATACATATTATAATCTCTGAAATAATAATAAAAGATTATCTAACTAACAAGCTAATAGAAGAGAAAGAAATTAAAATAACAAAAAATTGGTGAATCCAAAAGAAGGAATGAAAGAAGAACAGAAGGAAATAAAAACAAAAGTGACAAATTGGAAAAAAATAGTAGGGAGATAGTTTTGTTTTTTTCCCCTGGTGCCATGGGTCTTTATTAATTTTGAGATAGTTTTAAACCCAAATATAGTAGTAATTATATTAAATCCTTCGATTAAAAATTGCCATTCTGCATTTAAATAAACAATGAATTGGATGATACTTATAAACACACCTTAATTTAAGAACACAGCTAATTGAAAGTAAAAGATTAGGAAAAATTACAATGAAAGATAGTTGATGTGGCTATATCAATATCAGAAAAAAGGGAGATAAAGATTATTAAATATGAGGAGGGACATTCATATTATGTACATTGATCAGTCCATCAGGAAAATATAACATTTCTAAATTTATTTCATCTAATAAGATAGCCTCAAAAAAAATTACCTATCATCCAGCCCAGAAATTGAGGGGAGGCCGAGATGACCGAGACTCAAATAAGGGTGGGGTGGAGGAAAGAGGATGGTACAAAAAAGTATTCCAGACAGAAGGAAGAATATTTTCAAAAGCTGGGGGCAAGAAAGCTTTCAAAACTGAAAACTATATAGTCTTGCTGGGAGGGAAAGAGGAGGGTAGATTGAGATTGATTGAGGAATGGGCCTGGGTGGGAAGAGGATTGACTGATGAGAGCAAAGACTGGTGAATAAGCGCTAGAAAATACAAGAATCGCAGATGGTATTTAAACGATGAGGCTTCTTCCTAGAAACCAGGAAGTTCTTTTTTGTTCTTGTTCTGTTAGAGTTGTCTCGATTTTCCCCACTGCTCTCCCCTGCTCTGCCTACTCCCCCAACCACCCCTCACCCCCTCTGCTGCAGTCAGTTCCCACCCCTTTGTCCCACGTCCGTGGGTCCTTTATACTTGTTCTTTAACTAACTTGAAGGTTTACTTAGTGACTTGATACCTCTCACTACTGTGGGGTCAGGGGATGATGAATGAAGGAGGGCAGTACTGCTGGCAGAGAGATCTGTTTCCATATTCCAGGTGAGATGTTGGCTGAAGCTGTGTAGATGGAGAGAAGGGAACTAATTTCAAAAATACAGTGACCCATAGGTTGTGAAATATTTAAATTTTTCCTAGATTACTAGACTCACCCTTGGGTTATTGAACAAGAAATTCAACAACAGATCAAGAGGTTGAGAAATTTTAAGGACTGCAGCTTTTTTTTCTTTCTATCTGCAGAACAAACTGCAGGGCAGTGTTGCCTTCATTTCCAAAGATCAGGTTCTGTCAGTTAAGCTTGGGTTGGCCGTAACCTTGGGTTGGTTTGTTTCCATTAGCAATTGTGCTAACAATGAAACTCCCTTTGCTTTCTGTTTAAAGCACCATTTCAGTTTTCATTTTTGTTGGTTTAATTAGAATTGGCCATCTGTAGGTAACGTCCAACTCTCTCCTGAAGGAGTATACATTATTTTAAATCCATTAAGCGGATTAGTGTAGGATGCATACAGGTCACTTCCCTTCCAGGCACAATTTCTTAAGCCATGTTTGTTAACATCCTTTCTTGAGCATAAAATTCTGTCTTAAAAGAGAGAGGTGGAAGAGGGCATAAGGAGAATAAATGGTAATGGAAAAAATACAATAAAAATTCTTTGTGAGAAAGAAAAAGAGACAATAACCTATCAAGTAAAGCTTTACATGTTAATGTAGTTAGTTACTTGGTTTATTATCTAAGTACTCCTGCTAGGATGTACTTTTTATGAGGATGGGAACATTGTCTCTTCTGTTCAAGGCTATATCCCCTGTACCTAGGTTGGTACTCAGCAGACAAGTGCTCAATAAATATATATTGAATGAATCAATGAAGGACTGAGGAATGAAGGAGTATTTGTCTTAAACAAGTCAACTTCACTAAAATAAGATGGTATTTTAATCTTATAAATTCATTGTATCTTCATTTAAAGTTTTGAAAGTCTGGTGTTGGAATGTGTCTAAAAGTAAAGTGATTATTTTTGTATTTGCAGGACTATCTCAAGCAGGTGCTGGACATCGATCTTCATGCACAGATCCATTTTGGCAGGGTTTTTATGAAACCAGGGTATGAAAATAATCCTATTATCTCATATATGGGGTTGGTTTGGCTTGCTCTGACTAACAAAGCTTTAAATGCTTTCTATTTTATATGTTCTATTATGGATCATATATTCTAATAAGAGAAATATTATAGTATTAAAATTCTTTGCACAAGTGTAGCTCCTATCTGAAATGGGAATTCATCTTCCTCATGAATCACTGAGTTTGCTATAAATAAAACAAAGCAACCTTCCAGCCTTTTTCTCTTTAATTCCCATGTCTCTTGCTCTCCTTCTCTTTTTCTCCCTCTCCACACTGATTCTTTGTCTCTCTTTAAAAACTCTTTTAATATGAGACCTGGCTGGTGTAGCTCAGTGGATTGAGCACGGGACTGCGAACCATATGATCGCGGTTCGATTCCCAGTCAGGGCACATGCTTGGGTTGCAAGCGGTTCCCTGCAGGCCAGTTCCCAGCAGGGGAAGCACAAAAGGCAACCATACATTGATGTTTCTCTCCCTCTCTCCTTCCCCCCTTCCCCTCTAAAGATAAATAAAATCTTAAAAAAAAACTCTTTTAATATGAAAAAACTCATATACAAAAGTAGGGAGCACAGTGAACGCCCCTTGAGCCCATCACCCAGCTTCTGTAACTATCAGCCTCATCCCTCACCTTTTTGGGGGAACAGAGGGCTGGATTATTTTAAAGCAAATTCTAGAAATTTCATTTTCATACACATCTCAGATAATAACAGCAACAACAGCAGTGTTCTCCTGCGTAATCACAATGGCATTACCTCACCTAACAAAATAAACAAGAATACCTTAATATCTAATACCCTGATCATAGTCAGAATTCTCCTGCGTGTCAAGAAAAAGAATGCCTTCTCGTGATTGTTTTGTTTGAATTAGAATTCAAGTTAGTTCACTCATGGTATTCGGCTGTTAGAGCGTATTTACTGCCCCTCCTTTTTTTGTCAGGCAACTTGGTGAGGAAACCGAATCATTTGTCCTAAACAAATGGGTTTAGCTGATTGTTTCCTTGTGGCCTTGTTTCATTTGTTCGCTCTCTCCAGGATATTCTATAGCCTGGAAATTAGGTCTAAAGCCTCGATGAGATTCGGATTCACCTTTTTTTTCTTTTCATGAGTACTTCCTAAGTAGGATTTCATACTGCTTCTTACTGCCTCCCAGGAGGAAAGAAAAATAACCACATACCAAGATCTTGCACATAGCCTGAAAACTAATAACTCTTTAAGGAATGACTGGTAGAGGTTCTGTAATCAACTATAAATCCCCAAGGAATGCCAAACGTTGGTGTTGATGAAATCTTGGTGGCCATGTCTTCGAGCAATAGTCTGGCTATTCAGACCACTCTCGTTCCCTATTCAAAGGCTCAGAGCGTGGGTGGGCTTTCCAGCACACCTTCATGCTGTCAGGGACAGCAGTAGTGATGCTTTAGTTCAGAAATACACTCTGATGGGTGCTCACATGAACCCCGAGGGAGGAGAGGTGAGATTTACAGGTTGTTGTGAGCTATGGGAACTATTAGCATATTCCAGAAGCCTATCTTACGTGTCCAGCTAGCGCTCATAAACCTCCCTGACTTATTGCTTCCTCATGTCAGTTCTGGGATAGAGATCAGGCTTTACCTCCATGATTTTGCCATTTAAGTATGAAGTTAAGATTATCCCTAAAGCTTTCTTCACAACTTGACAGACTTTAGAATTCTTGGCATTTTATTTCTGCCCCAATATGGCTGCCACTGACAATGTTCTTTTATTGTTGAAATTATCAGATTTGGATCATTCTTATTAAGAATATTTTGTCTTAAGCAAATATTGCTATGGTATGAGTACATAGGCTTTTTTTTATTTTCCTGTCTCTATGAGCAGTACTAATTTGATAGACTACAGAGGACATCCCAAAAGCATGTCAGTGTGCTTCTAACTAATCCCTAAAATTAAATTGATTATTCCCTTTGCAGTGAGACAGAGACTGAGACTACTTGCCCTCACTGCTAGAAGAGAATTATTTGTGTGATATATATCATTTAAATTCATCTCAGCACCTATGATGTATAATTTTGCTACTCTTTATTTTCAGTCTTCCATTTATCACTTGCCTCAACTTTAGGAGTTCATCAGATCCTAATACTTATTCTACTCACTTAGTCATAAGCCTCTGTGACTACAGTCACTGTAGAAATTCTGTGTAGTCGCATCTCAACAGAATTGAACAATAAGTGCTGAGTTCCAAGGAAATGGCTTCCCAGAGCTTAGAAAAAAACAACTTCGCAGTCTAGCAGTAGGACACTTGTAATAGTAATGCATGAAAACAGAGTGTTTTCTTGTAGTGCAATCTTTTCTAAGTGAGTGCCTTTAGGAAAATCACAGCACCTGTCTGCAAGGTGCAGAAGATGATTTAAATTGGCTCTAAATACAGTAGAAGGAAATTGTTAGACATTCCCTCCCCACTCTTATTATGTCTGTTAGTTTGCTATAATAAAGTGGTTTGGAAGTTTTAATGGGCTTCCTTTACTCAGCCAGAATTATATACTTGTCTAAAGATAAGATTTGAAAAGTAATTGCTGCTTAGTAGAACAAGAACAAATATAAAAGCTGAAGAACAATTGAGCCTCGCTCTTCCCACATACAGTGCATTCAGAATGTAATTAACTTCTTTCATTTTCGACACAGAGATACTAAAAAAAAAGCCTCTGGAGTATTGTCAACCTGATCTACCAATCACAGTTTTTGTGGGTCATCAGCAGTGCACATAGCTGTTTTCTAGAATGTACCTTGGAAATTATTTTCATCACACAGTAACAAGCATTGCCAAGTAACCTGTACATAAATTAGGATCACAATTTAATCTCATTCTTCTAGACACAGCAAAGAATCAAAAAGTAAGCAAAAAATCCTTCGAAGTAGCCAAAAATAGATGTCACAAAGTCCACACACAGCATGCCCTAGAGAGGAGAGCCTCGTCAAAGTAGGAGCCACACACTTGGACAGACCTTGGTTCAAATCCTTGTTTCCTCACTTAGTTGCTAAGTGAGTTGGGGCAAATTGCTTAATCTCTCTGAGTCCTAATTTCCCCATCTATACAATGGGATGAACAATTCCATTTAATTTTCAAGCAGTCTCATGAGGTGACAGTATCCCACAATTGTCACCTCATGAGATTGCTTGAAACTTAAATGAAATAATGGATGTCATGCATAGATGTTTCCTTTACAATAGTGACTTTTCTTACTGCTATTAGTATTATCATTCCATCAGTGTAACTATTATTACTACTGTCTGGTTCCCAAACCTAACTCAAGCTTTAGGGGTTGAGATGATGGCAGTCTAGCATTACGGGGAGCCACAGAAAAAATACTGGTGAAAAAAAGTCAGCAACAGCAGCTGTAGAAACACAGCAGTGTCCGGTGTGGGGTTATGGTTTTTAAGTGAAAAGGAGAGTAGGATAAGTTCATAATGATGGCTGTAAATCATCAAAAATATTATTGCTAAAGATAATGAGTGACTGACCCATTTTTGAATGACCAACCTGCAAAAATAGTAAAAATAAAGTAATTTGGGTGCTTAAAAAGATAATTTTTCAACTAAATGGAAATTTCAGCATTCCCTAAAGATTTTGTATCACTCGAGTTTCATTAACATAATGACAGTTTAGCCGTATAAAGGGTGATCAATAGAAATTTCCTAACTGCCCACCTCCTCCGTGCCTCTCACACTCACTCCTCTCCATACCCCTCACGCTAAGGATTCCTGTCAGAATCTTGAGGAAGCATAATTTCAGAATTTTTTTAAATTGCTGTTGCTTTAATTTTGTTCTAGTCATTGGTATTTTATCTGTTTTGACATATCAAAACACTCCTTTCATAGGAGAGAGATTCGTATGTTCATTGCTAAGTACCGTTTTAAGGGGATGAGAAATCCTCATATTGAGCAATAGGCAGTTATCTGATAGGTATGTATTACTAAGTAGTCTCCTTATAATGAGAATGATTGTTTGGAATCTCCAGCAACAACAATATAGACGCCATTAGCCAGACGGGTGGGGAACCCCTGGACCTGGGATACTCATGCATGACACTGGCAGGAAGTGGGGACATAAGCTACAGGAAACAAGGGAGTTTGGTTGCTTGGGAACAGTAGATGCTAAAGACAAATTAATGTAAATGCTCTGGAAACACTGCGGGAGTATCAAGGTAGAAAGAATCAACAGAAAAGTATTTTTATATGATAAGCTTTCTATGTGGAGAGCCCCGAGACAAGAACACCAGATTTACTGAATTTACTCATCGTACTGCTTTGCAGTCACTAACGCCTCTTTTTTTTTCCAGACTGCCAACAACATTTGCAACTTTGGATATTGATGGTGTAAGAAAAATAATTTTTGCACTACCAGGTAAGAACAATTAAAATAGTTCATTTTGCCTTTTCTGATTAAAAAAAAAAACAATTTTTTTTCAAATCTTAGGTAACTGGTATCTTGTCAGAGCACTTGATTTGGGTCTGAAAGACCCAGGCTCAAGTCCCAGCTTTCCTTACTTGTAAAAATCACTTAACCTCACTGAAGGTGTTTATTTATCTCTACAATGGGGCTGACATCGACTTCACAGGGTTGGTGTGAAAGTCAGATGAGGTAGTCTCTTTCAGAGCACATTCCAAGTGTGGGCTGTCCCTGGGTCTTTCTGCAGCACCTGCTTTTCCCTATGGGAAAGTGCTCAAAGTTAGCAGTCTAACTACATCTCACAGCTTGAAGTAGCACACTCAAGGGGCCGGAGGGCTTAGAATCACCTGTGCAAATGCCAGAACAAAAAGTCTCAAAATACAGATAGAAAGAAAAGAAAGGCGGAAAAAGTGTAGAACTTCAGAATCATTTTTAAAGCTCCAACATATAAGCATTAAAGAGGTTAGATTTCTATCATATAGGAAATGTTAAGAGAGAGGACATGTAAGTTAAGTAGTCTTCAAAATTTGCCTGTAGTATAAAACTCCTTAGGGCCTTTAATGTACCTTTAGATAGTCTAAAAACCATTACATAAGAAAACATGAGCCTCCGTCCAGCTTTAATTTGCCTGAAAGACACTGCAGACCATCAGTGACATGAATAAAAAAGACTGTTAGAGCGAAGGCCTCATTCACCATTACCAGGGAAGTATTGTTTATCTACCGAAGGAGATTTTTAAATAATCCATATTCAAACTGATACTTTAATTTGAAATTCTCTCTGCTCAGCCCAAATAAACCAAAAGAGCCAGCAACAGATTGTTCAGATTGTAGAAGCAGCAAAGAGGTTCTCTGTACAAGGATTTTAAAATTCAGAATTGTATCTCTGCTGTCCCAAGGGCCATGCATTTAAAGCCATTACTAAACTTGGTAAATTTTAACGCAGTTTTAAAAGTTTTGTGTATCTACCTGCCATTTTTGTAACTTCTTAAAAGTACTGTATAACACATGTTCACTATGGAAACATTAGAAATACTGGTAAGCATTAAGAAATGTTATCCACAATCTCCCTTTTTTAAAAATAACCACTGTTTCCAATTTTTATATCAGTCTCTTTCCAGTCCTATTTTTATATAGTAATTGTACATAAAGCAATAGCAATTACAGGAATTCTGTAATCATTGTTAAATGAACAATAGCAGGAGTTTTGTTTTGTTTTGTTTTGTTTTGGTTTGGTTTGTTTTCAGAAAAATTTCCATCTATTTGTATTTTGAGGCAAGGGAAAAGCAATTGATTCTTATTAAGAGTCTGCTGTTCTATTGGACAACTCATTTTTCTGTTGAAATAATAAGTATCACTCATGACTTTTTACAACTTAAAAAATCTACTCTTAGCTACTTTTGTAGGTAGAAGAAAATTAAAGGTATGGTTTTAGCTAATAATAGGCTAGACTCACCGTTGCCTTTTACTTTAACGATACAATTAACAGCACATAGCCAGGCCAAGGGAACCTCCAAATCTAATAGCCCATCATCTGTCCCCAGTATATGCATATATATTCACATACAACTGTATAAAAGTATTAATAAAATGAGAATTTTAGAACCAGAAGGGATACTGAGAATCATGTAGTCCACCCTTTCATTTTGTGAATGAGTTCATTAAACTCAGAAAGGTTTGGAACTGAGTAGGGCCACACAAGTTGGCTAGTTAGCATGCCACACAAGAAACTAAATTGGTTATTCTCTGCCCGGTCATTTATTTCACAACCCACCTTTCCCCTCTTAACACCCCCAGATTTCTTCTTAAAGAGGTACAACTGAATGTCTCGAATTTTGTTTATAACTCTAAAAGAACTTGGTGTTTGTATTAATCTGCTGAGGCTGCCATAATAAAATATCCCAGACTGGATGACAGATAACAGAAATCTATTTCCTCACAGTTTCAGAAATGGGGCATCTACGGGCCAAATGCAGACAAGGTTAGTTTCTGTTGAGGTTTTTCTTCCTGGCTCACAGATGGCCGCCTCCCACTGTGCCCTCAAATGGCCTTTCCTCTGTGCACGTACACTCCTGATCTTTCTCTTTTCATATGGACACTGGTTCTATTGAATTGGGGCCTCACCCTGATGACCTCATTTGATTTTCATACCTCTCTAAAGGTTCCATCTCCAAATAAAGTCACATCGGGGTGTTAAGACATCAAAAAATGAATGGGAGGAAAAACAACACAATTCAATCCATGTAGTGTTCAAGTCCTTCACATTTTAAATCACTTGGTTTTATTTTTTTAATTTAAAGAAATGTCTGGACAGAAGGGATTAGGGATAAATTTCTTTATGCTTATCCTATGTTCTAATATTTCTTCGTATTGAGCATGTGTTACTATGGAAATTTTAAAAACAGAAGGAGAAACAGCTTTAAATTTACCAATTAGTAATGGCTTTCAATGTATAGCTCCAGAAAAGTAGAAATAAATAGTAATAAATGGCTTCTAAACATCAGAAATTTCACTGCTAAATCCAAAAGGCTACACCCTCTGTGGCATTTGGTTGGCTGCAGTCCTATTCTGACATCCTTTTGGGTTTAAGGTGATTCCAAAGAGAAAGACAAGTAGTCACTTTACTTCTCTATGATACCTGAAGGTGTAGACGGTCATAATTACTTGGCAATTTTTTATGTGTAAACTGCAAATAACTGCTTGGTTGACTTCCAGGGAATCCTGTGTCAGCCGTGGTCACCTGCAACCTCTTTGTCGTGCCCGCACTGAGAAAGATGCAGGGCATCTTGGATCCTCGGCCAACCATCATCAAAGCCAGGGTAATGTTTTCGAATGACCAGGAACTGAAATTAAAGCCTAATAACATATAAGGATATGATCTAGATCCAGAAATGCCTATAATTTTATATTAGTTTTGAAAATAGAGAGGAACGAGTCCCTTTTATTCCCTGCCCAAATTACTCCATGAGTCTAATGTGAATGATTTTCTTCAGCACAAGGTCTGGATGGGAGTGGAGAGGTAATGAGAAAACTGTCAATAGACTTGGCGGGCACTGACCTAACACTGAACCTGTGTGGGAGGAGGGACAAGAACTCTCCTTCCCCTGTGTAACTCACAGAGGACAGCAGTTTACCCCCCTACTTTTTCTGTAACCTCACTGATAAATTTTAAGAAAAAGACAAAGGACTAAAAAGAGACTCTAGTGAATCAGAAGGAAAGGGGCCCATTTTGTTCGGAAGAGGACTACTAAGGCTGAGGAATTATACGCACAATAAAAGTTACCTGGAAATTAGAGTCCCCTTCTCTACCACCACTAACTTCGATTTGATTTACTACTATACAACTAATTATGTAACACACACTGTATAACAATGAACAATTTTATTGGAAATATAAACTAAAATACCACACCATGACTCTTTTTAAGCTTTATTGAGATATAATTTATATACAAAAATTGTACATATTTAATATACATTTTCATGTGTTTGGACATGCGCATACACCCATGATCATCACCACCATCAGGTACCGAACATATCTAGCACCTCCAGAAATTTCCTTGTGTTATTACTGGTTTGGTTTGTTTGTTCATTTCATGGTAAGAACATTTAACGTGAGAACTGTCCTCTACATTTTAAAGTGCACAATATCACATTACTAACTATATGTTATACAGCAAGTCTGTAGAACTCATTCACCTTGTATAACAGAAACTGTATATCCATTGAGCAAAAATTTCCCATTTCCTTCTGTCCTTAGGCCCTGGTAACCAACATTCTGTTCTCTGCTTCTATGAGGTTGACTATTTTAGATACCACATAGAAGCAGAATCATACAGCACTTGTCTTTTAGTGACTAACTTATTTCACGTAGAATAATGTACTCTAGGTGTATGCATGTTGCCAAAAATGGTAGGCTTCCTTTTTTTAAGCTGAATAATATTTCATTGTACGTGTACACCACATCTGCCTTGTCCTTTCCTCTGTTGAGTACATCCGGGTTGTGTTCATATCTTGGTTATCATGAATGATGCTACAATGAGCATGGGGATACAGATACCTCTTTCATTTCAGTTTTTTTGCACATATACCCAGAAGTGGAATTGTGGGGTCATATGGTAGCTCTACTTTTTTTTTTTTTGAGGAGCCTTTATGCTGCTTTTCATAGTGATTCTACCATTCTTACTAACAGTTTGTAAGTGTTCCAGTTTCTCCACATCCTCACCATTACTTATTGTCTTTTGGTTTGTTTGTTTTAATAATAGCTATCCTAACAACTTTGAGGTGATATTTAATTGTAGTATTGATCTGAATTTTTCTATTGATTAGTGATGTTGAGCACCCTTTCATACATGTGGTGACCATTTGTATATCTTTTTTGGAGAAATGTCTACTGAAGTCCTTTGCTCATTTTTTAAAGAGTTTATTTATTCATTTTTAGAGAGAGGAGAAGGAAAGGAGAAAGAGAGGGAGAGGAACATCATTGTGTGGTTGCCTCTTGTGCACCCCTGACTGGGGACCTGGCCTGCTACCCAGGCATGTGCCCTGACTGGGAATCGAACCAGCAGTGCTTTGGTTCACAGGCACACACTCAAGCCACTGAGCTACACCAGCCAGGGCTGAAGTCCTTTGCCCATTTCTAATCAAATTATTTAGGTTTTGCTACTGAGTTTTAAGAGATTCTTATATATTTGGGATATTAACTGCTTATCAGATGGATGGTTTACATATTTTCTCCCATTTCATAGGTTGCCTTTCCACTCTGCTGATTGTTTCCTTGGCTGTGCAGAAGTTTTTAAATTTGACATAGTCACACTTGGTGACTTTTGGATTTGTTGCCTGTGCTTTTGGTGTCAAATCCAAGAAGTTATTCCTAAAGACCAATGTCAAGAAAATTTTCTCTCATGTTTCCTTCTGGGAGTTTTATAGTTTTAGGTCTCACATTAAGTCTTTAATCCATTTTGAGTTGATTTTTGTGCATTGTATAAGAGTTTAATTTTTTTCTTTTAAATGTAAATATATAGTTCTCCCAGTACTCAAACCATTACTATTCAAGAGCTCTTAATAAATTCAGATATAACAGAATTATATGACTGGTTCCCAGGAAGAATATAAAATATAAAAGGGTAAAAGGAAATGTTTAAAAAAATTACTCTGAGAATATATAGGATAGAAAACATTAAGAAAATCTAAGCTTCAGATGTTTTAATATTGCCCTTCTAAATATTGAGGTTTGTAGACTAGTATGTACAGGAGATATTCTCCTTAAAATTTTAGTAAAAGTTCAGTTAGACATTTCTGAAACCAAACTTTCTTCAGTTTTTTTCAGTAATCACAGTGGTCATCTTATTTTAAATTCAATGGAAAAGAAGATAAAAAGTTATTAATTATTCAAACCAAATCAAAAGGTCAGAGCCATGAAACTTAGATTTAATCATTTAAATCAGCAATTCTGAATTTTTCCACTGTTTTCATATTTGCTAAATTTAGGAAATAAGGAAAACCCATACTGTTGTAAGAGAAAGGAAGAAGACTTCTCTTTAACTTTGCAAAGCTACTATGAATCTTATTTATTTCTCATTTTTGACATCCACCATCTCTTCTTTAAAATTGACATCGTGGCAGTGATTTGTTCTGACAACATAGTGCCCTGTAGTCAAACTGAAGCTTAGTGCGTTCATTGTTCACAATGCTGCTCATTCCTGTCCGCCCAGGCAATTGAGAACTGGCCTAAGAATCAGACAGACCCCTTTCTCCTACAGAGCAGTGTCACTGGGGCTCAGAATGAGTCATCAGTATACTCGGCTGCTTGCCTCTCTTGTTTTAACGTCCCAAATCACCCCACATCTTTACTAACTTAGCTGCCACTCTAAAACATAATCCTGTTCACTTACTCGAAACATGGTCTCTACTTTCTGACCATCTGAGATGCAGCTTGCCTGCACCTCTTATCACTGTTCTCCAAAACATTTGCCAGTCACGGCCTCTCCCAGTTCCTGCTGCTTTGGGGAGGTGGGGTGGATATTCACTGCTGGCATCAGGAACTCCCACTGCTGGATGGGGATGTAGCTGTCCTACAGGTCGGGCAATGCTGTGCTCTGTTAAAAGGTCAGCACAAAAAACATCACCCTTTTATGTCAACACATTCTGAAGAGCATCAGTTTGGAATAAACATTTTCCCTGTTTCCTTGGTCAGGTATGGTTGAGATTGAAATACTTCTGATTTTTAATAGGCAATCAGAAACATAATCCTAGCAACTCATCCAATAGAATTATTGACCTAATGTTTCCACAAAAGGACACCCTATCATGTGTTTCCTTATTATCTCATCAAAGCACCAACGCTGTCTCTCATTCTCAATTTTTTTTCACTAGGAACATACCTGAGGTAACTCCTATTAATATTAACAGCTCACCTCACTGCAAGCATTGATTAAGAGAAGGAAAAGGGAAAATACTTTCATCTCCCATGGGACCAGGTCAGCATGTCCTAGGAGAGTACAAGCATGTTGGAACCTCGCTTGACAATTCTAATTTGTCTGCCTTCCCTCTTCTCTTGAACATTAGTGTCCAGCATGGTATAAGAACTGAATCAATGCTTTCTGACTAATGCCATAAATAATAAAATGCAAAACATTTCAACAAAATGTTTATATTGTTTGAAAATTGCTCAGGTGTTTGCAATTGTCAAGAGAAATCTAACTGTTCATTGTGACAAAATTGGTCATTGATCATCAAAAGATATTACTGAATGCCAGTTATATGAATATATTATAGCCTGTGGATCAAAAACAGATACTGAAAATGATAGAACTGTCCATGATTTATAAGAAAGATATAAATCAGTTTTAGCTTATTATTAGGAAATGAAAAAGGTACCTAGGTCATAGAAATTTTGGCAAAAACGAACTTGAAACTGATCCATACCTGTGCAAGAATTTTTAAAGTCACATGATAAATATTAGACAGATGACTCAGAGGGTGAAAATCTCAAGGTCCTCTCTGGTAGACTGATGAAATTAGTGTCTCATAACTTCTATAGCACTTATCAAAAAATGTAATGTAAAACTCCTTTAATCACTCTTTGGAAGTTTTGGCCAAGTAGAGGCCAAGCCCCAGTACCCCCCGGGTCCTCGAGGATGTCATCTTTGACCTTCACCCAAATGGAATCCCCTTTGGTCATTTGTTTCCTCATAAACTTTCTTCTCCAACCTCTGCACCTCTTAGTCCCAACCTGTTCCCCCAAATCTTTTAGAGCTTTTACCTTCTCATTACCGCCGTCAAACCCTCCAGAGACAGTCAGGTCTTTGGCAACTATCTAATTGCCATCTTCTCTTCACTGCGTCACCTCTCACCATCACTTGCTTTATTTCTGCAATTCTAAATACCTTTATGCCTACTTCGCAACTCACACACACACACACACACTTTTCAATACCCAGAACTGCTCCATTTCAAAAATCACCAACTCTGACCCCTGGCTGGTATGGCTCAGTGAGTTGAGTGTTGGCCTGTGAACCAAAAGGTCGCTGGTTCAATTCCTAGTTAGGGCACACGCCTGGGTAGTGGTCCAGATCCCCAGTAGAGGGTGTGCAAGAAGCAACCACACACTGATATTTTTCTCCCTCTCTTTCTTCCTCCCTTCCCCTCTCTCTAAAAATAAATAAGTGAAACCTTAAAAAAAAAATCACCAACTCTGATGTACAAATTAGCAACAATGGCAAGTTACCGATCAATAGATATAAAAGAGTATAAACAACCCTGTAACCCTCACACTTTGCCCTGGGTCCATAAGCCCCTCTGGCTTTACCACTTTCCCATCCAATCTAAATCCGGTGGTGTATCACTTCAACATTTTTCCAACACCTTCAACTTATTTTTGTTTCTTCTTCCCTCCACTACAACCCACTCTAAGTATCTACAAACTTCTTTGCCCTTCACTTTTATTCCAGGCCACTAAGCACAACTAACGAGGAGTAAACCGCTATTCAAGTTAATACTTTCCATTCACAAACCTCAGCAGGGGCCAAAATTTTCTTTGTTGATTCTTATGCATCCCACAGATCAGCTGCTGCATTCCTTACTGGTCTTATCGCACTTCACCATCCTCCTAAAGCCCCTCCACAGTCCCCATCCCCTGAGTTTTGTAGCCAAGTGAGCCCTGGTTTGAATGATGGCTCCAACATTTACTAGATTATAACCCTTGGCATATTTCATTGTTTCCCTTCTACTAATCTTGCTTCTTCTTAAATCTTTTTTGTCTAACTTTAATCCTGACAGCATCACCAATTAATATCCTTCAGTGCTTCCCACGACCGCAGGGTTAAATGCAAACTGCTCAAGCGAGCGTGGAAGGCCTTCCGTCTGCAGGCCTGTTTTCCTTTCCAGCTTCATCCGCTTCCCATTCTGCACTGCAACCACACCGAACTAGTTACTGCTTCTTCCACAGTGGACATGAGAGCCCCTGCCTGTGCCTGTGTTTGTTCTCCTTCCTAGAAGTTTCTCCCCTCACCACCACCATCTCCTTTCTCAGCTTAGGAAATTCCTTAGTCATAAGACTCAGGCATCACATCCCCTGGAAGCTTTTCTCAGTGTCCCTAAGAAGGGTTGATCACGTACTTCTTCATGCCCTTTTATACCACATACACAGCTCTGTGATAATATTATTACACTGTATTTGCAATTAATTATTTACTCTGAGAATTCTTTGAGGTCACTTCTCTATAAGATGGGCAGGGGGAAAAGGAAGGATAAAATATATCTGCTTTTTTCATTAAACATTCTATGTTTTTAGAGCACATTTAGGTTTATAGCAAAATTACAGGAAGTACAGAGTTCCCATAGACCTCCTGTCCTCACACACAGGCAGCGTCCCCTGCTATTGATATCCTGCACCAAAGCAGTACATTTATTATCATAGATAAACCTGTTTTGTCACCCAAAGTCCATAGTTTACCTTAGAGTTCATGTTGGTGTCCAATATTTTATAGGTCTTGATTAACGTATAATTGCATGTATCTGTCATTATAGTATCATACAGCATAGTTTCACTGTCCAGAAACTTTCTATGTTTTGCCTATTCATCCCTCCCTCCCCACTAACCCTTGATCTCTTTACTGTCTCCCCAGTTTTGCCTTTCCCAGAATGTGATATAGTTGGAATCATATAGTATGTAGCCCTTTCACATTGACTTCTTTCACTTAGTGCTATACACTTGAGATTTCTTCATGTCTTCAAATGGCTCGGTAGCTCATTTCTTTTCATGCTGAATAATATGCCATTGTCTAGATGTATCACCATTTATTTATCCACTCACTTACTGCAGGACATCTTGGTTGCTTCCAATTTTTGGCAGGTATGAATAAAGCTGCTACAAACCTTAGTGTGTAGGTTTAGACATAAATGTGTACTTCGCTGGGTAAATACCAAGGGAACACAATTACTGGATTGTATGGTAAAAGTATGTTTTATTTTATAAGGAAGTGCCAAACTGTTCTCCAGAGTGGCTGTACCGTTTTTCACTGCTACCAGCAGTGACTAAGAGTTCCTATTCCTCCACATTCTTCACAGGGTTTGGTGTGGCCAGTGTTTGGGATTTTGGTCTTTCTAGTAGGTGTGTAATAATATCTCACTGTTGTTTTAATTTGCAGTTTCCTAATGACATTTGACAGTGAACACTTTTTCAAATGCTTATCTACCTATGTATATATCTTCCTTGGTGAGAAACCTGTTCAGGTTCTTTTGCCCATTTTTTAATTGGGTGGTACTTTTTCTGGTTGAGTTTTATGAATTCTCTGTATATTTTAGATCACAGGCCTTTATCCGAAAGGCCTTTTGCAAATATTTTTTTCCCATTCTGTGGCTTATCTTCCGGATTGTTTTGACCTTTTTTTCCCAATTCTTTGCCTTAGACATTTATATATACAACATATATAATACCACACTAAATAATAGTTTCATCCCTTGAATGACTACTGTGTGCCAGGAAAATATGCCAAGGAAACAGTCCTAGCCCACAGCCCACTGCCCATTTTGAGTGAATAGAAGAAGTCATCAGAAGTGAAACATCAACCATTCACAATGCTTTTTCACCAGAAGTTGTGTTTATTCATGATACATCATTCTTGCGAGCATTGAAGCTCATAGTGAATAGGTGCCTTCTTAAGTTTAAGTGGTGTAAGTAATACACCAGCACTATGTCAATATGACTAAATATTGGTTAATAAAGTATCCTGCAGGGTGGGATGGGAGAAATAGATTTAAAAAAATGTACTTGAAAAGTAACTAAATAAAATTTAATTTAAAAAAACAATAATAAAGTATCCTGCGTTTCAGTGAAATACCATAAAATCTAATTAGTTTTATCTTTTGCTGCAAAAGGAACAGCTGTTTGTGAAGCTATGAAAAAAAATAATTCTCTTCAATTTGATGCAACTGATTCTTCTTTCTTAAGTTAATTTAAATATCTCCTTTAAAATAAACAACCCCATTTTGTGGATAAACAGACCTGTGTAGGAAAACTAAATAACCAGCTAGTGCAGCCACCAGTTAGCAGTAAACCTGGAAGTAGAACCTCAGTGTCAGGTATCATTTCATTCCAAGATTTGTTCCACTGCACCACCATGAGCCAATCAGTGCATTGTTAGGGGAAACCTTGCTCAAACACTTTAGCAAGTCACACAGCCATGTGAATAGCTCTTGTAGTTTAGTATTGGCAAATGCACATACACACAGAGGGAGACCGAAAGAGATTTTTGCCCTCAGGTAAGCACAAAATAATTTAGGAATAATGTAAAGTTAACCTCCAATACATATGAAATAGAATATGAACATAAGCAAGATTAAGTAAAAGAATGGAGTATTATTAAATAAAAGAAAACACCCTAGAATTAAATTTTATTCTGGATTCCAGAGAAAAATCATGGATTGTCAGAGTGAATGGTTAGAATGCTTAAAAACATAGTAAACAAAGTGGATTGAAGACGGACTTACTTCAATCAAAAGTTTCAGTTTTAACTGTATCATTTTATCTAAGCAATATCTGTATTACTTGAATAAAGCCTTTCTAGATCATTTTAAGGTAGAGTAACTTAAATTATTATTATGCTAATAAAATGTTCTTTCTTATACTCTGGAACAAGTCTTGTTTTCATTAACATTGAGCTAATCTTTGGGCTATTGTCCATAATTACATATTGTATAAACTTGTTGGACGATTACCTTTTAGGCACCTGCTACTAGCACATTATCACACTAACTTCTCAGATTTCAGTGTGAATTTAATAACAGATTTAAAAGACAATGGCTCCAAGTTAAAGGTTGATTGTCTATTCTATGTCATGTATGTGAACTAAAGTTGCTATGATAGAAATGACTTTATCCTTGTTAGGAGAATATGAAAGATGTAATTTCATAGCAAAGAGTTATTCAGAGGAATTCTTTTATTACCAGTGATGTGGCTAAACCAAAACTTTTGGCAGGGACTACTTTTAGTTGCCTTAATGAGCTTGTACATCAGTATTGGGACATTAGGGAAGTATTCAAGAGAAAAAGAAAGAGCTCTCCCATTTACATCAGGGATGGGTGTGTGAATGGGTAGCTAAATAACACCTCAGTAAATCCTTGCTGGATATATGGATGGATGGACAGATAGATGGGCATACAGATAAACGGATATAGATCTTGTTTTTTTTGTTGACATCTGCTTCTTTTATTTTCAGTGTTAAAATTCTTGAATTTAGGCCCTGGCTGGTGTAGCTCAGTGGATTGAGCATGGGTCTGCGAACCACACGATCGCAGTTCGATTCCCAGTCAGGGCACATGCCTGGGTTGCAGGCTGGTTCCCTGCAGGCCAGTTCCCAGCAGGGGACACACAAAAGGAAACCATACATTGATGTTTCTCTTCCTCTCTCCTTCCCCCTTCCCCTCCAAAGATAAATAAATAAAATCTTTAAAAAAAGATAAAATAAAATGAACTTTAAAAAAAATTCTTGAATTCATAGGTCAGAAGCACCTGTCCTCACAATCCATAGTATTACATGTCAAAAATAGACACTATCTCTTTCATCTGCCTTTTCCTCCACTGTGAAAACCAGCTTCTTGGCTCTTCTCCTCAGAGCAACTCTGGATTTCCCATGTCAGGAACATAAGGTGGCAGTGGTAGGAACAGACGTTCACGGTTTCCCATGTCCACTGTACTCTTTGCACAACCTCCACCACCCTGTAGTTTTACAAAGTGGTCAAGTGACCAAATGTGTTTTGTTTTCCTTTATGTTCTATAGTTATCATGTGATGTAAAACTGGATCCTCGCCCAGAATACCATCGGTGTATACTGACTTGGCATCACCAAGAACCACTGCCTTGGGCACAGAGTACAGGTTAGTCATTCACAGCCGCAGGTATGTCTGTGTACCAGTCCCGCTGAAACACCCATTTGTACAAGAGGTCTGTCCAGAAGGTGTCCAGCCATGTAATATGAAAAATAGAAAACTGTACTTGAACAACAATTAAATAAATAAATTTAAAAAAAAAAGAAAAGTAGAGATACTCACTGAAGAAGATACAAGATGCAAGAAACACTGTACATAGGACAATGACACCTTGATCCCCCTCAAAGTAGGCACCTTGGGACCTCACAGAGTTCTCCAGTCACCATGAGCTGCCCCGTCCTATTTTCCTGAATCTCACTGATGGTCTGAAATCTCTTCCCTTTCAAAGGTGATTTTAATTTTGGGAAAAGCCAGAAGTCGTAGGGTGCCAAATCTTGGCTGTAGAGTGGCTGAGTATCCTGAGAGATTTGATGTTTTGCCAAAAATCTCTGCACGTGACATGATGCATGAGCAGGCACATTATCTTGATGAAGCTGCTAATCACCAGTTGCCCATAGCTGTGGCCTTCTGAATCTGAATAGTTTCTATGGAAGAATGTTTAAGCTTGACATATAAACTGATGCAGATTCATTGCTCTACTGGCTCAGGCATTTTGAATGGAGCAGCCACACAGTACACATGCTCACTCAACAGTGTCTACCACCCCCACTGGCTAATACAGTGAAGTCTTCATTGTTCACACATGTGTATTCCAGTCCATTCTCCTTGGCTGCCAGGTTACATCGATGTCATGCAAACCATTCTTGCTATATTAACAATGGCTGGACATTTTCTAGACAGACCTTGTATATAGCCTCCTCCTTTAGGTATCCCTACTTTGGAATTGTTATATATTTTCCTTTTTGAAAGATTAGATGGCTAAAATTTTCCTACACGGTATAGCATAACAGGACAAGAGTAAAATAATAATAAAAAAGATTTTGTTATTCCTTGGAGCCAGGCTTTCTAGATAAGCATTTGAAATACAAATCTACAATTACAAAAGATTTTTATCTATTTGTTCAACCAATAAGTTCTGAGTATAACTTTGTAGGAAAACAAGGGATTGTGGGTAAGCCACCCTGAAATGTGAGATCAAAGCCCAATTATGTGATTCTCTGTAGCCACTAGTATACCCTCGATGTTGGTAAATTTAAGGACTGAGAAATCAGTATTGATAATTTGGAGTGCTGTAGTTACCTCCTCTAACCTTTAAGCTTTTATCCCCAACTTCTCTAGTCATGTTTTACCTAACTTCTGTGTGACTCCAGTAAAACTGTATTGTGGTTTAAACAAGCATCCTCTCAAGTGTAGATACCAACTAACACATGGCTAAGTGCGTGGGCCTTGCCGTCTCAGAGACTTGAATTCAAATTCGCCACCAAGTAGTTAATAGGACCCTAAGCAAGTTACTTCAACTCTTTTGAGTCTTGTGAGAATAAGAATTAAATAAGATGGTTAAGTAACTTGCCTACCACCTTGTCTGCCACTTAGTAACTACTACGAAGGAAATGGTAGTTGCTGCTATTATCATCATTATTTTAATAGGTTTTTAAAAGCCTCTATTTTCAGACACACAGAACATTTCAGCCTGAAGAGAGAAATTCTGTGGCATTTGCATAATGCTACAAAATTCTGGTTTTATTCTTACAAGCAGTAATTTGTATTGTTATTTTTAGAGTTCAGTGGGAAGGTTGCAGGATACAGCAGCAAGGCTACCTAAAAAACGTACTGGGAAGTCTGACCATCTCTCTTCCTCTCAAAGACCTGTGCTTCTGTTCGTGGGTTCTTACTTTGGAAGGAACAACAAGGGCTCCAGATGTGTCCACTGTGGTGCCGAGGCTGCTGTAATGAGCGTGTTTCTTTCTAGGTAATCAGATGAGCAGCCGTCTCATGAGCATGCGCAGTGCCAATGGACTGTTGATGCTACCTCCAAAGACAGAGCAGTACGTGGAGCTCCACAAGGGCGAGGTGGTGGACGTCATGGTCATCGGACGGCTATGATGGCCGCCGCAGGAGAAGCCTCGATGCATGCCCACATATCATTGACTGTACCCTGTAATATGCAACGGCACAGCTAGTTTTTCTGATTTGGATAAAAGTTGATCTGTATAGTCAACATCTTGAACTATATTTCAAAAGAATTTAAATACCTTTTAAAGAAAAAACACCTAAAAATAAATCTTAACAGACAACTCTATTCTGATTATATCAAAGCCGATTTTTCCTTTCTCGCAGTCGCTTTGTGTGTTCAATGCTAGGTCTGATAGCAATAGCTTTTAGTAGACAGCAGTAGGTGCCTGCAGAACTTGTGTTTTTCTCATCTTTAAACAACTACTTATGCTCTTAAATCAAGGCTGTCTGCTTATTTATACTAGCGTAGGCAACACTTGGATTTCCCTTCTTAGTATGCTTCATAACCGCTTTACAGAGAGCTTTTGCTTGTTCTTTATCATGTATCTCGTGTTTATGTACACAGTGCCAAAAGAAGAGTGACGGGGGCGGCCCGCCCTGCCTCCAGGAGAACCACCCCTCTCAGAGCTTCCGGGGCAGTTTCTCACCCCAGCAGCCTCATGGCACAGTCCTCTTGGGCAGTAACTGGATACCTTTTATTTGAACAAACAAACTGGGGGAAAAATGCTTCCTTAAGTGCTGACAGCCTTTTTAACCAATACATTTAAAATTGTACAGAACAAAAAATAAAATCAAAGACTGATCTTGTACAGATATTAGTGTTACCAGCATTCATGTGGAAATCAAGAGCAAAGAAAAAAATAATGTTGAACAACTCTGTACTATAACATTTTCTGTAATGATACTGAAACTTAATGAATAAAAAAATCCTGATCATTATATAAAAATCCATGGTGTTGGCCTCGTTATTAAAAAAAGAGAACATTATCATGCATTCTGGCAGGGTTCCGCCTGGAAAGAAGGCATATTTAAGATGACTTAGCAAGCCCAAGTGATATAAAGGAGATTTCAAATGCGATATGACTGTATTTCGCTACAGTATCGTGCTCTGAAGAACCGTGAACATACAGATCAGAAAGCAGTAGAGAACCTGCAGTCGGCCTGCTCTTCCCAGTCACAGCTGGAGAATTATGAACAAATTCAGAGAAAAGATAGTTGCTCATTTGGGAGGATAAAACTAAAATCCTATTTCAGATGCCATAAAAACAAATTTCAAATATCTATGAACCAGAAAATTCCAGATGAGTACCTAGAAATTTCTTGATCGTGTTAGAAAGGAAGTGAGAAATGGGAGAACTCTGTGCTGATCGCAGAAAATGCAACCAGTGAAATACACTCTATCCCTAGGGCTCCTTTGGTAAAAATTCAGGAGCACTTTTCAAATGGCGATGACAGGGGACACTGACTCCGCGGTGGGGCGCACTGAGTAAAGCGAACAGCAGATACCGGACTCCTAGTGCACACAGCATCAGGTGACGATGATGAATAAAGCCAAGTTGTAAACAACAAATATTTGATACTAATACCTGATATTTCCAGAGTTGAAAAATAAAATGTTCTGTATTTTAAGTTTTTTTATATTTGCAATTAAAGAAGGTTAGTTAATAGAGGTCAAATGAAAGGCCAAGAACAGTGCTTTACCCACATTCATTCAAAAATATTTATCTAATATGTGTTTGGGTGCAAGGCATATCGTGCTACTGTGTGCAAAGATGAATAGAGAGAGTAGCTAACATTAAACTCCATCGAGGGAGATACTAAAAACTTGTGTAACCATAATATTTGATATGTTGATACTTGGAAATCCATAGTACAGTGTGTAGAATGTGATAAATTACAAAATTCAGATTTAAGGAGTTGGAAGACTTCAAATGATAACCTTCTACAAGGTAAGATTTCAAGGGATAAGACGACATTTTCGTGGACCTTAAAGGAAGTGTGCAGTTTTAAAGATGATGCAGGAAGAAGGGCATTCCAGAAATAGAGAATTATAGACAGTTAATAATAATTATTTTTCTTACAAAATGTAAGCTCTGAGCACAAGAATTTCTGTTTATTTTATTCACTTATATTATTCCCTAGTCCTTAGATTTCCTGACCTATGTATCTTAATGCAGGCATCAGTAAATATTTGTCCAGTGAAGTATATTATAGAACTTACTGTATGCCCAGCACTTTCCATTTGTTTAATTTTCACAACAACCCTGTAAGGATTATTATTTCTATATTACAGAGGCACAGGAAGAAAAGTTAAGCAACTTGTCCATGGTCACACAGCTAGTTAGAGGAGCCAAGATTCGAATTCAGCAATCTGGCTTCAGAGTCCATACTCAAACACTAAGCTAAAGCAACAGAAACCTGGCAGAGAAGAGGTCAATGCCAGTGGGAGCATCTTAGTTTGGAGTGTTGGAGGGAAAAGTCCACGAGTGGAATGAAAGGAAGCGCATTCTGCAGAAGAGAAGAAACCAGGCAGAGCCGTGTTCCAAAAACCAAGGAGAGTTTCCAAGAGGAAAGAAAATTTTAAAAATGTAAAGAAATGTCAAGAAAGATGAAGGTTCAGGAAGACTTACTGATTCGGCAATCATTCCTGAGCTACAAGAGGGCAATTTCAATAATGGGCTGAGGGCAAAAGCCAGATCGCAAAATAGAAACCATGAATATAAATGCTTTGGAACTTGTGCATAAGAAAGATAGACACAGGATGATAGTTTGATAATAAGATGGACGAAACGTTTTTGTTTGTGGGCTTTGAGAAAAAAACAGTAGTGGGCATATTACAAAAGCAAGAGTAAGTCCCCAGATGGAGAAAGGGGAGAGGAAAGGCTGTAGTTAAGGAACCTGGTGGTCCAATCAGCCTGGAGAAGAAAAGAAACATTTTTCCTTATGAGTTAGAAAAGGGGAAAATGTGAACATACCTGTCACAGATACAAAGGAAATGTATTCACTTATTTTTAATATTTAGTTAGTTTTTAGAGAGAGGGGAAGGGAAGGAGAAAGGGAGAGAAACATTGTCGGGTTGCTGCTCATGTGCTCCCTGACCAGGGACCAAACCCACAACCCAGGCATGTGCCCTGACTAGGAATCAAGCTGGTGACCTTTCACTCTGTGGGACAATGCCAACCATCTGAGCCACACCAGTCAGGGTATTTATTTATTTTTTAATTGAATTTATTGGGGTGACACGGGTTCATAAAACCCTACAGGTTTCCATTGTACAACTCAACAAAACACCTGCATGTGGCACCGTGGCCCCATTGCCACCAGCAAAGTCTCTCCACCCCATCTTCCCACCCTTCCTCCACCTCCCCCTCCACTGTACCCCTCTTCCCCCAGCTTTCACCACACTGTTGTCTGTGTCTGTGTGATACACACACACACACACACACACACACACATTTGTTTCCTTAATCCCTTTATGTTCTTTCATCCAGGCCCCAACCCCCACCCTTCTGACAGCTGTCAGTCTGCTCCATGCATCTCTGCCTCTATTTCTACTTTGTTCATCCGTTTATTTTGTTCATTCGATCCCACACATAAATGAGATCATATATTTGTCTTTCCCTGACTGGCTTATTTCACTTGGAATAATAATCTTTATTATTATTCCATCCATGCTGTTGTAAAAGGTAAAAGTTTCTTCCTTTTTTATGAACAGTAATATTTCAGTGTGTAAATGTACCTCAGTTTTTTTTGTCCACTTATCCACTGATGGGCACTTGGGCTGTTTGCAGATCTTGGCTATTGTAAATAACGCTGCAATGAACATAAGGGTGCATACATGAGTACTCTTTCAAATTAGTGTTTCAGGTTTCTTCCAATATATTCCCTGAAGTGGGATCGCGGGGTCATAAGGCAGTTCCATTTTTAATTTTTGGAGGAAACTCCATACTGTTTTCCACAGCGGCTGTACCAGTCTGCATTCTTACCAACAGTACATGCGGGTTTCCTTTTCTTCACATCCTCACCAACACTTATTGTTTGTTGATTTATTGATGACAGCCATTCTGACAGATGCAGTGATACCTCATTGTGGTTTTAACTAGCATTTCTCTGATGATCACTGACGTTGAGCATTTTTTCATATGTCTATTGGCCATCTGCATGTCCTCTTTGAAGAAGTGTCTATTTAGGTCCTTGTTCATTTTTTAATTAGGTGTTTGTCTTCTTGTTATTGAGTAGTATAAGTTTATATATTTTAGAAATTAACCCCTTATCATTGGTAACTACATTCTCTCATTTATGTTTTTTCTCACATTTAATTGAAAAGCTATGATTCAATGAAATGGTTCATCTTGACACAGCGGAAGTCTCAATGCCATCTAATCAATTTGCATTTATTTGACCAAAATTATTTTAGAATTACACATATATGATGTATTATATTCTTTGTTTTGGTAGATAATATTAAAATAAAAGACTAGAAGATGATTTTAGATTTTTGCTTATAGCCATGTGGAAGTTAAGTGGTTTCTTTTTAACTTGCTTTTTTGGTTCTATGTATGGGTTGTTTTAAACCATATCACACAATAAAAAAAATAATAAGCGGATTGAGTTTACCAAGTAAATGCTATTAAGTGTTATTGCATATTATAGCAAGTGGATTCTTTGGATGGCTTTCATTTTTAAAATTATTTGCCAACAAAACTTTGTGTCTGTAACCCATAACAAACTCTTAATTTCATGAAACCCTAACAAGGTAAGTCACTATTATTCCCAATCATTGAAAGAGGAGATGCAGAATGTAAGTGTAGAATTCAAAACAGATAAACCATGTAGCTTGTTATTTCAGTGATGATGAATTCAAGTTAAATAATACACTGTGTTTTAACATACCTATAAAAATACTAAGCCTGACTCCATGACAGAAAAGTACATTGTTATAGAATTCACCAATAACTTGGCCTAGACCCAAAATGTTAAAGAATTGCTCGATTCTTACCAGTTTTTTAATGGTCAGTTACCAGTAGTTCTCCTGTGGCCTTTTGTAATAATTCAGTAATTCACTGGACAAGCATTCATTAGGTTCTGTGGTAGTATGCCAGTCTCCGTGCAAGGCACTGCGGATACAGTGATGAGGCAAAGACTGATATCCAACTGGAGAAGATAGATTATGAGAAAGCAAAATATATATATTTTTTGAAATACAGGTTCTGAAAAATCTCTGAAGAATTGCAGTAGTATGTTGGAGAATAAGTGGGTGGAGGCCTAAATCATGTTCCATTATTGCATCGGGGTCTAGACATTGAAAAAGGCAGAAATCACACAAAGAGACTTTGATGTAGGAATAAGTTAAATAGGTGTTGGATACCTGGAAAAAGCACAAAGAAAACATCAAGATGCCAGACATAATAACTACAGGAAGTAGCTACCACAACTAGGGGTGGGGAGGTAGGTGGAAGAAGTTAGTGCACTGTAATGAGAATCCAGGAGCTCAGAGGTTGGACCCTTTGGAGGTAGGACTCAACCCTCTAAGGAGAGGGCACTGCCCAGGTGTTGATTCTGAGAGCACAAAAAAAAGTCTAGAACCAGTTGTTGCCACAGTAACAGTGACAGAAACAAAAACAAACAGAAAGGAACACAAGTCCCTTCTTCCCTCCCTTCGCTTGCAAAGCTCCTTGTGGTCTAATACAACCTATTGTTGCACCTAACAGGAAAGTCAGCCCGGAAAGGAAATGCAGTTTGCAGAGTTCCAGCCCCAGCACCGCAGTGCGGAACATGGTGGCGGATTTGGAGCTACGGGGCCATTACTCGTCAAGAGATCAAGGAAGGGCTCTCTAAAGGTAACATTTGAACTCAGATCTGAAAAATGAAAATAAGAATTGAGAGATGAGCATTTCAGACCAAAAGGGGCTTAAACAAGCCTCTT